GATGCATATTACTTAAAATTCAAGATTACAAGTAAATTATGCGTAAATACAACTTATTAAAGTTTCATGTTTGAATTCGTATAACTAACTGCAGATAAATATAATCGAGAGAATAAGCATCTCATTTTAAATATAAAAAATAAAAATATAATTAGGATAATAATTGAATTCTAACAAAATACTTAATTATTATCTTTATAAAAAATATTATTAAACAAAAAATAAAAAAATGAATTAAAAAAACATTAAATAGTTAGTATGGTAATAATATCAATATTTTTTTCAATTATTTATGATATTTTCATATTTATATCTTGTTCAAAAACAAAACATTTTATCACTTTCTCAACACCATATAAAATCGACTGAGACAAAAAAAAAACCATTAAAATCGAGATGTATCTCGCTGTATTGTGCGAGTACCCTTCTAATTAAAACAAAATGGTGGTTTGTAAAAAAACTCCAAAACTTAAACTTATACCCTTAAAATTATTATTTATTATCATAAATACCAATAAATAAAATATAAACAATCACAACAAAATCATTTTTAAATTAAAAAAAATGTAAAAATAAATTTGACATAAATGCAATTCAATCAACTGATGTGTTTTAATGTAATAACAAAAAGTCATAACGACTTGTTGCTTATCTCTTTATCCTCACAAACGTACAAACCATAGAAGTCTACTGAAAATTACAACTCTTCTAATGTATATCGGTTTTTAAGCAACGTATCGTAATCTTGTGTTTTGTTTAAGCAAAAGGTTTTGTAACTGGTAATCCCGAGCCAATTTACACTGCCTTCCCAACTTTCTCCTGTAACGAGGCGAATCAGTAGGGGCGTGCCGAAGCTCCGAGGGTGTTCAGATGGAGATATTGAACAGGGTTCCAAGAAGTTTTCGCATGCCAAATTATACGTGTTTTAATATGATTGTTCTGCATTGTCCCTGTAATTTTAGCTCATGTTTTAACCTAATTCTTCGGCATTCTCCTTGTTACTTTAGCATTCATAGCTATTTTAATATGTTTTTTTTTAAGATAAAGCTGATTTTAAAGAATTGATTGGAGATTTTGTTACAAAAAATGTTAGAATACTGATTTTATTTAAGTGAATTTCACATGTTCCCTTATCATTTTAAGATTTTAAAATATATATACGGCAAATGCAACAAATAAATTCATACACTCTCCTCACCAGTGGTGAGGTTTGAACCCCTGACTTCCTAGAAGGCAATAGACTCATATAGTGCTAGGCCAAAGACCCCTTTGATATTTTAATTCCAAGATATTTTTCGTTATAATTTATAGGATTTTTAATATAATATATTGTATCAACTTTTTTTGTATATTTGTATTCATTCATCTTCTAATCAATCTATAGTACTTTTGGTACAAGTGTAACAACGTTTCAAAAAATTGGAACAACTCTGCAAATCATATCACTAAAACCCGTTAGGTGAGTGGCTTAAAATCCCGATGCCCACAATAAGTCATATCGCGCAAATGAATTATAATTCTTTCTCTATCTTTATCAGGGGGTGTTTGGGATTGCTTATTTAAAACAAAATTATGTTTTTTTTGTAAAAATGCTTATCAACTCATGTGGTATCAAACTGAAGTTTCATAAAAAATGACTGGAGTAGCTTATGACGGTACCAAAACGTAATAAGTTGATAAATTATTTTTTAGTGTTTGGCAAATTTTGCTTATACATGTCAAATGACCAAAAAGAATCTTGATCGTCCATGTGATTTTGCTTATACATAGGGTCACTTTACGGCAAAAAACACGACATTCGAACAACCAAATCTATTAGATCGACTGTCCTTGTGATTTCAAGATCGTCCCAATGATTCAAGATCTTGATCCCTATGATTCCACTAATGAAGAAGATGGACAGATGTGTCGGGGAGGAGGGACCGGTGTGTATTATGATGAAACCATGGAGGAGCAATAAAGGTAAAAAATGACTGTGAAGTAGGGAGGAGGGAGACAATGGAGGGAGAAGATGAGGAGCTTTACCAGAGGATATGATTGTTATAATAGGAGAGAAGATTTATTAGGGGTAAAAAAGTAATTTGGTTTTCATATATGTTGTTTCTTATAAGTTAGAAGATAATAACTTATCAAAAACTCTTTATTATTGATTTGACATCGGTATAAACATTTTTTGCCCATTCAAAAACTAATAAATGCTTATTATCGGCATCACACCGGAATAAGTCAATGAACACTTCAAATAAGCAATCTCAAACACCCCCTTAGACTCGACCTCTCAGCCATTTATACAAATTTACTATTCGAAACTAATAATACTGTGTTTTCAGAGTTGCTTCTTATTTTTGTTACAGAAATAAATATTAAAAATTATATAAATTTTATTGATATTATTTTCTTAAGGAAAATTATGTATTTATTATTTATTTGGCATTTCCTAGCAGCCAAGAATGATGTGACATAAAATTTGGATTTAATATTCCATTACACATATTTGAACATATCAACAACTCTAGAACAATGATTGATCATTTTAGACATATAATGCATTTATTATGTAGTGTATTTCTACATTATATTATAAATTATTTGATAAAAACTCTTAAAAATCATTTTTTATACATAAAGTGTAGTTTATTGATGAATAATACTTAAAATTCAAGATTACAAATAAATAATACATAAGTGCAACTCATTAAAGCTTCATATTTGAATTCGTGTAACTAACTGCAGATAAACATGATCAAATACTAGATAAATATTTCATTTTAAAAATAAAAAATCTAAAATATAATTAGAATAATCACTGTATTCTAAAAGAATACTCAATTATTATCTTTATAAAAAATATTATTAAATCAAAAATAAATTACTTCGTTAAACTTAAATTAAATTATAATAATAAAGAAACTGAATTAAAGAACTCACACAACAAAACAAAAACTTTTAAATAGTTAATTTGATACTAATATCGATATATTTTTTTTAAATTTTTAAGATATATTCGTATTTATATTTTATTCAAAAATAAAAACATTATTGTTTTTCTCATAACCATATAAAATCATATTATAACATCGACATGAGACAAAATAAAATAAAACATTAAAATCAAGATATATCTTGCTGCATTGAACGAGTACATTTCTAGCGTGTGTGTATATATATGTGTATATATATATGCTATATCATATAATATTTAATTTCTATATATTTTAAAATTTTATAAGTTTAAAGAATATAAGTACAAAATATTATGTATACATTAATAATTTTGCATAATTTATATTTCTATTAATATTCTTTAATATTAATATAAATTAAAATATTTTATATGTTTTAATAATTTATACTTAGTGTTTTATAAGTTGGAACACTGGAAAATATTTTATAATACAATAAATATATATATATATATATATATATATGTTAAATAATAATAATAAAAAATGATCGCTTTTTTGGTAGCTTGTTTTGCTCCAGTTTTGGTTATGTTTCACTGATTTTGGATTACAATAGAAAAGATATTTTTATTCTTTGTTTGGTCGTATCAATTTTATGATTCCGATGAGTTATTTAGGGTCTGTTTGGTCAATGCTGAAGAATGAAAATAAAAATGACAGAGAATGAAAATGAGAATGAATTAATTCCCTTCAATTTAATCATGAATGAAATTTTGGGCTTCTGGGAGAATGTGTCCATTATATTATAAAAAATCAAACAGTTTTTTATTTTATTTTCATTATCATTGATTACTGTTTAATACATTTAACCAACCACCCCTTAGTTCTCCTCTTTTTTAGACTTTTCAATAGATTATTCTTATTCTTCTCCTCCCCCCCCCTCTCTCTCTCTCTATATATATATATAGAGAGAGAGAGAAAGAGAGAGAGAGATTCACAACGTAAAAAAAGAAACAGAACAATCTTGTTTACTACTATTTTATTGACTCACTTCTATTTATTTGTGAGTTGGTTAGTTAAATAATAGTCAACCACCCACCACTACTGCGATTAACACATGCTCTAGCAAATTGGATAAATCACTTGTCCGCTGTTGCTCCGATGAAACCCCTTCCCCCACCGCTCTAATGAAACATCTCACCCCCTATGCTCCAATGAAACCCCAATGCATATATATTTGGTTCCGAATCGAGTTCATAATACCCCATCCCTGGTGCCATACTGGACACCGGCATCATAGCTTCATCTGCTTACCCTAATCCCCTTACAAGTTGATTTAGGTACTTTATTTAGGGTTAATTTATGTTCTTGATTCAGACTTTGTATATGTTCACATGGATAAAACAAACATTCAACCAACAGAACAGAAAATAAAACTAAAACGTGTGCGGGGGTAGGGGCGGATGTAGTCGTTTACATATCACTGGGAGGTGCATTAACAAAAAAAGAGAAGGGAGGGGGGCTGTAATTGGAGATATCATAGTTTCTGGTGCAAAAGTTCTATCGTTTTGATTGAAATGGAAAACAATCAATTCCATAATGAATTCCATCAAAATAGAGGAAAAATGCAAAAATACTGAAATGCCCTCGCGATTAATAGAGATGATGGATGGTTGTTTGGTTCGGAGACCATACTTGTAACAAAATAAATACCACTGGAACAAAATCCACAATACACGTAATTTAGGGACCTAACTGTAATTTGAACAAAAATATAAGGACAAAAATGTAATTTACTAATAAATCAAGCAAAAATCAAATAAATAATTTATTGTGGGCTGGGCCTTACCTGACTTTAACGGGCCGAGCCACATTGCAACGGCTATAATTGAGGGCAATATAGTAATTTAATAAAATGGCATGTGCAAGCCCTAACTGGATGTACGAAATAAATACACAACGGTCATCTTTCAAAACGATACCATTTTTTCTCTTCTTTCCCCCCTTTCTACCATTTTCAAATTCGAACTCAAACGCTCGCCTGCTTCACACACACACACACACAGTGGATCTTCGATCATCGCGTAAAGAAGGAAATTATGAAATCTAACGCAGAGATCTCCCGGCACCGATCATCAGGAAGTATTTCGATTTCGGCAATTCGGAACCTACTTCCTAGATCTGGATCTGCAAAGAAGAAGATGGCAAACCCTAAGCTTTCACGATTCAACTGTGAAAATGTTCCACCGGTGGATCCGAATATTGAGGTTGGGGAATTACGTTCGATTTTAAAGGAATCAACTGGAAAAATCTCGGTTTCGGGAAAAGAAACCACAGAAATGGCAGAATTGGAACCTCAGCAACATGAAGAAGAACCGTTGTCTGCAGATCCCCATGTTAAGGTACGAGTTAAGTTATTTATTTTTTTTATTTTGGAAAGTAGATCTGATACAAGGTTTGATTGTGGGGGAATTTTTGTCAGGTTGTAGCGAGAATTAGACCTCCTAATTCTCATGAAAGAGGGGATTATACGGTTAGAAAAGTTTCTGATGATTCAGTATCCGTTGGGGATCGGAAATTTACTTTGGATGCAGTCATCGACTCCAAATCTAGCCAGGTTTGTAGTAGTACTGTATCTCCTATTGACAAACGTGTGCTTGAAATCTGTACTACGTACAATTGTTTCTGGTAACGTACTGAAGCAGTGAGCTGTTTATATTACTTTTAACATTTTCTTTATTAAAGCGACCACTGCTTAGTCTAAGCTCAAACCAATAAGGCACTACCCTTGTTGCTTACTTTTAACATTACATGCGATATGTTAATAAATGATGGTTGGGTCTTATCCATTTGTGAGACGAAACACATAAATTTATTAAATTGTTACCAGCAACAACTAAGTGATGCGCACAAGCTTTCAAGAAGAACAATTTTGAGGGGTTGTTTTTTAATTGGAAAATGGATGATAATCGAAGGATTTATTGAGTTTGTTAGCTGTTTGTGTTATAATAGGAGGATGTATTTCAATTAGTTGGTGTCCCGATGGTTAAGAGCGCCATGGCAGGTTACAACACATCAATCCTGGCCTACGGACAGGTACATTTTAGACTATTTGGTAACTGTGTTTTTGATGGAATTGGTTGCAGTATATTCAATTGTTGTTAATATTCTTCAGACTGGAAGTGGAAAAACTTATACATTGTGGGGTCCACCAAGCGCAATGGTTGAAGATCAATCAGCCAATGGTAATCAAGGAATCGTTCCACGCATCTTCCAGATGCTGTTTACTGAAATCCAACGAGTAAGCAGCCTTGTTTTCATTCTTGATTTATACCAAAAGAGCTGTAGGATCTTAATGTCGTTATGCATGCTGTTTTGATTTACAATTCAGGAACGAGATCAAGCAGAAGGTAAACAGATAAATTATCAGTGCCGCTGTTCTTTCCTTGAGGTAGGTGCTTCGTGGTGGTTTTCATCCGTGTTGTTCTTAATTTTGAATCTAGTTGATGAATTTATTGTCATTTAAAACATTATTCACAGATATACAATGACCAAATTGGAGATTTGCTCGATCCAACCCAGAGAAACCTAGAGGTGGATATTAGTTTCTATTTTTGGTGATGATTGATGTTAGTCATTTTATGTATTCCTTTGTTTTGTGGTTGTAACGGGATGAATTAAATTAATTCAGATAAAAGATGATGCTAAACATGGGTTTTATGTTGAGAATCTGACTGAGGAGTACGTGACTGGCTATGAGGATGTTACTCAAATTCTGATCAAGGTAAGTAAGATGGTGGCTTGGATCCGATTGTGCCTAATTATTTCCCCCTTTTTGCTTTGAGTTTATTGTTGTTCCTTTATGCATGTCGCTCATCAATGCAGGGACTCTCCAATAAAAAGGTTGGAGCAACAAGCATAAATTCCAAAAGTTCAAGATCTCATATTGTGCTTACATGCGTCATCGAGTCTTGGTGCAAGGTATTATGAATTTCCAAGTTCATAACTGTTTCTATATGTTGTTTCCTTTGTTGAATACGCTTGATAGAACCAAAACTCTCTATATATATATTCAGTTTGTCTGAAAAATGAAAACAGACATCTTCTTAACTGAACTGTAATTGTTTAAAGGGACCACCTATGACTTTCTTAACTTGCTTTATCAAAGCATCTCAAGTTGTTGTATTATCTTGCTATTTGATGCCTATTCATGTTAAGTTTCTGAATCGGTGGAACCAAACTGTCAATTATCAGGGTAGTTCTAAAACAAGCAGGATTACCCTCGTGGATCTTGCTGGACTTGAGAAGAACAGAACAAATGATGCTGGTAAAGAGTGTGCCAGGGAAGGAGAATTTGTGAAGAAGTCCATATCACAACTTGGGTATGACTCTCCTCACATTTAAGATTCCGCCTCTCTTTTCCCCATAAGTTGATGATATTTGAAGGATTTCAAATGTCAGTTTGTCATTTGTTGTACAACTCTTTAGGCTGATTACTTGATAATAGTTGTACTCTTTTTTTACTAGGCACTTGTTTTATATCATTGGTCACCGCACATGTATATACACCTGATCTATATAAAATTTTGGCACAATGCATATACAATTGAACTCAAGCATGAAGTCGCCTAACCATGATAGAAATATTGGTCCCAGCACTTGTAGTCATGACGATATTCCTGCAACTTAAGCTACAACATCAATGCATCTCAATCCGCTTAGTTTCTGTCACAGTGGTTTTCTTTTCTTTTTCTGGGACAGCTAAGGCAATAATAAAATTTTCTTACAACTTTACCTTGATGCACACATTGTTGTTGTTAGAGTTGCATATCGGCTAGACTTGAACCGTTTCTCCTCAATATAAGTTGGGATCCCTTCTCTCCTAAAGGGATCTTTTAAGAGTAATCTAACGGGTTCCACATATTCTTACATGGTATCTGAGCCAAAGTCTAATACATGTTGAGACCTCCATCTCTCCCAAAAGGCACTTTTGGAGAGTAATTTAATTGGGTTTCACATAGCCGCACATGGTCAGAACCGCCAAGGTCTAGTATATGTTGGGACCCCCTTCTTTCCCAATGGATCTTTTGGAGAGTAATCTAATGGGGTTCCATATATTTTACATGGTAAGCCAAGGTCTAATATGTCCCCTTCACTGAGTTTTTTGTTTAATAGCTGATAGCTGGGAGTTCTTGTAGTAGTATTTCCTTCTAGTTACTGATGTTTACTTTGTGCAGAAACTTGGTTAATATCCTTGCCGGGACAAACCAGTCTGGACTCTCCAAAGACATTCCATATAACAATTCCTGTTTGACTCATTTGCTGAGAGAATCACTTGGAGGCAACTCAAAGCTTATAGTTATATGTGCCATCTCCCCAGATGACAAGTTAGTCCACTCAATTCTCTTTATCTATTCATCACTAAATTGATCTTGAAAGTGACCCTTAAGTCCCCTTCCAATCTTACCTTGAATTTTTTTTCTGGAAATACAGGTGTTCTGGTGAAACAATTAGCACACTCAGATTTGGACACCGGGCAAAACTTATACACAATAATCCGGTAGTAAACAAAATAACAGAAGACGATGTTAATGATCTCAGTGATCAAATTCGTGAACTTAAGGTATTTTTTTCCACTCGAAGGTAATTTTTCTTTCCGTCATCTAATGATTAACATAAGTTCAATTTTTGATTACAGGAAGAGCTAATAAGAGCAAAATCAGATGCTAGTTACTCTATTGGATCTAACACAAATTATAAAGGTGGTAGCGTTCGCCAAAGCTTGAATCAACTTAGAGTAAGCCTTAACCGTTCACTAATCCTCCCACAAATAGACAACAATGATGTGAAAGAAGAACTTCATATTGATGAGCATGATGTTAGAGACTTACGCCTCCAGCTCGATATGCTGCATAGTTCTTGTGATGAGGAATTTCAAGAAACCTCTGAAAGCACACGCTTTTTCTCCATGGGTGGTTGTGATGATCTGGCAAGCGAACAGTATGCAAGTTGTCAGGAAGAAAGTGAAAACGAAGAAATTATTTCAGAAGAACCTGAGATGGATCTCGGAAATCCGAAAGTGATTAATATCAGTGCTGGCAGGCCTTCTGATGTCTTCAATGGTCCTACGTTATCAGAGTCCCCCAAAATTGGTAATGCCATTCGAAAGAGCATGGCTTTGCCATCAAATATAGTGGACAGTTTGAAGTTCAGTTCAACTGTTCCACAAGAATCACAAAAGATTAGCGATCAAATTAGGTCATCTTTGCGATCAAGCAAAATGTTTGGAGGTCCAACTGAATCGTTAGCTGCTAGTCTTCAAAGAGGCCTAGATATTATTGACAACCACCAACGTAGCTCTGTGTTGAATAAATCATTAGTTGCCTTGTCGTTTGAGCATTTGGCTACTAAGACAAACGATGCTTCTGTTCAAACGTCCACAGATGAGTCCCCAAATTCGTATATCTGTTCAACTTGCCATAAAAAAGCACTAGTTGCATCCAATGATGTCCAGGATAGCTTGAAGACATGGATTGTCACAAAGAATGAGCCAGGGAACTCAGATGAATCAAACAACGAAGTAAGCATTAATACTTTATTTATCATCTTGATATATGCCCCTGATGCAATTTATGTTAACTGTACTCGTTTCATTGCACACACTCTCACCCGTTGTCTGCTTGCTTGTTTCTTTAATTTTTGTTGTCGAAACCGGGGATTAAGGGAAAGAGGCAAGATCTGCTTACACCCTACCCCAGACCCTAACTTTTCGTGAGATTTACTAGCTTAGTTAATAGGACTCACAACTTATTCACTCTGTTATACATGACTGTTTGGTAGTAGCTTAATGATATAGAAAGTGGCTTATTCAGTAACCTTCTAGTTGGTACCAATCATGCCACTCCCAATTAGAAAAAACCCTCCGAAACAAAAACCTTCTCAATTTACATAAAGACAACTTTATTGATACAAGATTAATAGAAAACCAACCAAACTGGTCAGGTTCAAACGAGAAGGCAAGAAGTTCCAATATGCTTTGACCAGCATATAGCGGGTGGTCAAGTTGACCAAGTCCCCCGCATTGACCAACTTGCCCACGTGTCGAATCATGTATGATTACGTGTTCACGTCACATGTAATCATGTGGGGGATTGAAACTTTTTCCCGACTTCTAAATAGATCAACTTCTCACATGATTCTCCTTTTAGTTTGGTTTTTTAACATCTAATTATTATCTTGCAGATTGCAGCAGAAACCATGAAGAAAGTGAAAGACCTTGAAAACCTTTGCATGGAACAAGTTGCAGAGATTGAGAAGTTGAACCAATTGGTTAGATTTTTTCTTTCTTTCACAAGTATGCTTTTTTTCAAGCAGTTTTTATTATGAATTTTATTTCTTAACCTTTGTCTTCCAGGTCTTGCAATACAAACAAGAGAAAGAAGGTGGAACATCGCTGCTTGATGAGCTTAGAAATGGGAAGATTTCGCGTAACAGTGAAACTAAGGTCAGTTCATCTTACTCATGAAATCATCGAATATGGTCGGATTAGAAAAAAAGCAATAAAAACATTGTATTCTAGAACAGAAATTACAATGAATAATCACTGAATTATGCACCAATATTGAAAAATTACGTACCAATATTGAAAGTCAAATATATTTCTTATATAGTTATATATATATATATATATATATGGTTAAGTGTCGATGAGAAGGAGAGTTAAGGTGAAAAACATAAGAAGGATCTCCACCCTTGGATGAACATTAGGATGTGATGCATCGGATTAATCCCCATATCAAACGTGATTCATGGATGAGTATGAGATTAAAAGTGATGAAGTGTCCAATCCCTCTTACGCTTTCCACCTTTAACTCTCCTTTTCACATGGTACCCGCCCACGAGTAAAATTTATGTCTTGTACTTAACTTCATTTTGTGGCATTTGATCAGCTTCTGAGATGTAACGATGAACCAGAGATCATAAAAGAATGCCAAACAATATCTTTTGATACCAACGAAAAGGAATCACTTCTCCAAGAAATCAAAACTTTAAGAAGCAAACTTCAATCCCCTTCTGAACCACCCTCCTCAAACAAATCCATCGATCGTCTACGATCATCCTCTCTCTTATCACAATCACTCCAACTAAGAAAAAGCGGTGCATATAGTCGAAACGAAGGTGATGAAGAACTTCAAAAAGAAAGAGAAAGATGGACGGAAATGGAAAGCGAATGGATTTGTTTAACCGACGAATTAAGAGTTGATCTCGAAGCTAACCGTCGCCATGCTGAAAAGGTGGAGATGGAGTTGAGATTGGAGAAGAAATGCACCGAAGAACTTGATGATGCGCTCATGAGATCGATAGCCGGGCATGGTAAAATGGTGGAGCATTATGCCGATTTACAAGAAAAGTATAACGAATTGGTGGAAAAGCATCGGTTGATTATGGAAGGCATAGCGGAGGTGAAACGGGCGGCTGCGAAAGCCGGAGCCAAAGGTCACGGCAAGCGGTTTTCGAAGTCTCTCGCTGCCGAACTTTCGGTTTTGAGGGTTGAAAGGGAGAAGGAAAGGGAGTTGCTGAAAAAGGAGAACAGAAGTCTTAAAATCCAACTCAGAGACACTGCTGAAGCTGTTCATGCTGCTGGTGAACTTCTTGTTAGACTTAGAGAAGCAGAGGAAACAGCCTCAGTTGCACAGGTACTTTTTTCTTCCTCAAAAGTTTAAATTTTTGGGAAATATAATTTTAAAAAATAAACTACTTGGGGCGTCGCGTACTGGTTAAGGTCCAGGAGATGTAGTGGAAATCTCGTTTTTCTGGATTCGAATCCAGGCAATGTCAAAACCCCTGCGGCCATCGAGGTTCACCAAGTAAGTGAGAGTAACGACTCTTGCGAGATAAATAACAGCATACAATGCCGTTTTAATGGACTAAACTTTTACCGTGTTATCGTTTAGGTAAACGTCCCCTTAGTTAAATACCCCAGATGTTAAAAACCACCTTTCCGTGACCGTTTATGTAGAACTCTGATGGATTATACGAACATATATTGTATTTGCAGGAAAATGTTGCAAGCATTCAAGAAGAGAACGATAAGTTAAAGAAGCAAGTCGATAAACAAAAAAGAAAACACAAGATGGAAATGATCACAATGAAACAGTATCTTGCCGAGAGCCGATTGCCGGAATCCGCACTCAGACCTTTGTACAGGGAAGACTCGGACGTCAAAGCCCACGATAACGATGACGACGATCAGGCGTGGAGAGCCGAATTCGGAGCCATATACCAAGATCATTATTAAGTTATTGGCAATTGAAATTTGCAAGTTGATATATAATGTGCATCTACTACATATATATACTTGCACAAGTTCTTTGTTGCTTTTGAAGTTTATTATTGTGATTTCTTTCATTGTTTGTTCATGTCAACCACCCATAGTGGTTTGTTGTGAAAATAACTTCGTTTTGTGGAATTATTGCTCTTTTTAACTGTTAATTATGTGTTACTATATGTAATTCAGATGATGTGTTTATTCTATAAATTACAGATTTTCAAGCATACGACTTTAAATGAGATTTTAACTAATCATAATGGTGATGTCTGATTGGTTTGAGCTTGACTCCAAAGGTTAAAAGTACCAGGAGGTCTCATGTTCAAATCCAATGAGAAATAAAAATCCTCTTGGAAGTTCAAATGTGGTGACTCCAGGCTATCTGCAAAGCAGGTGGTCGTCCTGAGATTAGGCGGCTCGCATAGCGAGTTGGATATCCAGGTTAATAAAAAAAATGAGATTTTAATTAAGGTATTTTTATAAAGTCTCCTCCGTTGCATGATCATACAAATCTATTTAAAGCTCTTCCTTGCCTGTTTTTGGGTTTTGGGTGTGAGATGGGTTAGATCGAGCCTTTTCAGACTCGTTTTTCTGGGACACAGTTTTAACCAAGCCTTGAAAAACATACTTGGCTTGTTACCTCGAACTGACCAGGACTTGCTACGTAAATAAAACATTGTTTGTCGTTGGGTTTTTGGGTGTGAGATGGGTCCGATTGAGTCTTTTCTGACTCGGTATTTTGACCAAGTTTTAACCGAGTCTTGGAAACCATACTTGACTTGTTCGAGCTTTTTTATCCTAAAGTGGACCCAAACTTACAGAACTCTGTTCAGAACCAGACTTATTTTAGGAATCTCTACTTGACATGAATATAATTGTAAATAATCCCTATGAGATAAATAAATATCTTTTCTTCTTAAATTTTCAATCTAAGGGGCCTTTACCAAGTGCTTACCGGGATAAACGTTTACCAAGTTATATTATCTTATCAAATAAATATGACAAAGATCAAGAATCTTATCCGGTACGAACAATGCAAAGATCGAGAGTCTTGCCCGATAAGTGAGGACAACGACTTTTATGACAGTTAACACTTATCGGGTAAATCATTGCATATGATGTTGTTTTTGTTAACGAAAATATTACCTGATAAGTAATTGATAGTGTTGAATTTTAATAATAAATAATTACCGGATGATTGTTTGATAAAATTAATAGATTTGATTTTAATTCTTAGTTTTATTTTCCATAAAGTTTGATTTCTACTGTTGTTCTTTCCAAAAATGGGCCGGCAAAATGTGAAGAGACATACGACGCCGTATGCTGACTGATAACTAAACCTAATATGGGCATTGGGATATCATTTCACATTGCATATATCGGGGTGTACAAAAATCGGAAAACCTTTTTTCTAGGGTTCAGTCTTTTGGATAAAGCAAAAAAATGGCATCGACGACGCCAGCGGCCGATCCTGCTGCTTCTGATTCCGATAAAGAAATCGTCGGTACCAACCATTCGGTGACGAGCCCTAGTTCTGAGCCTAACGTCACTTCCGATGCCTTAACGACTACCAGTCAGTCAAGTCCACCTTTAGTTTGCCTCTTCCGGTTTGCCGGAGACTCCGCCGCAGGCGCGTTCATGGGCTCTGTTTTCGGTTATGGTAATCTCTCTCACATACTTACACTTAATCGGGAACTAAATTTAGGTTTTGTTGATGTTACTAAGATTATATGCAGAACCAAGCACTCATGGATGTGGTTTTTGAAATTTAACGAAGATTATGTCATGGTGTTTTTGAAATGAAAATGGTTATGCTGTTTCCTTGGAAAGTTATCTGATTATATGATATGGATGGTAACAATTTTGCGTTGGTTATTGTGATAGTCTCTGATCGTTCTTCATCGGATCCGTATAAGTAGCATCTGTTTGCTTTTTGCATGGGAAATTTTGGTGCTATTATCTATGTGTAGCTGACAATAATTTTGTTGCACATACTCTGTACGTATTTAGCAACTTCCTTGAAGAGTTCAAGTTCATGATAAATCTGTCTGACATCCTCTGTTTAAGTGTGTTTTCATTTCGATTTCGTTTTCTGGGGTGGACGGGTTCATTTTGTTTGAAGTTGAAGTCAGTTAGATTATGATAGTGTTTGAAGTCGGTTCAGTTTTATCTGTTTGGCTGTTTTAAAGTTTCAATCAATTCCTGTGACGTAGTAAACATGGCTGTAAGTGAAAGTTCTGTGGAAAAATACATTCCTTGTTATTTGTTGTGTAATGCTTTGAGTGTGAGATTCTAAATTGGTACTTTAAGGTTGTCTTAAAAGAAATCCCAATAACATGTTGGGTGTGGCTGTAGACTTGCATTCAAATAGAGATTAGAGTTTCTGCTGGTTGCAGGTTACTTGGTGACTAATTAGCCAATCACATCTTGGCCGAATGGTCGTTATGTTGTGTGAATGGTCAGTAAGATCACCTAGATTATTGTGTTAGAACCCTTTGGTGTTCAAGTTTTATCTTGTTATGCCAAGGCTATTAACTACATGTGTATGTGTTGATAAAAGTATCTCTGTTTTCCTGTTAAGTTGAGACTGTGGACTGTAGCAGTGTCGATGAGAATTTTTTGGTGGCTAATTAGCCAATCACATCTTAGCTGAATGGCTGTCATGTTGTGTGAATGGTCAGTAAGCTCACCTAGATTATTGTGTTAGAAGCCTTTGGTGTTCAAGTTTTATCTCGTTATGCCAAGGCTATTAACCACATGTGTATGCGTTGTCAAAAGTTTCTCTGTTTCTTTGTTAAGTAGAGTTTGCGGACTGTAGCAGTGTCGATGAGAACTTTTTGGTGGCTAATTAGCCAGTCACATCTTAGCTGAATGGCTGTCATGTTGTGTGAATGGTCAGTAAGCTCACCTAGATTATTGTGTTAGAAACCCTTGGTGTTCAAGTTTTATCTTATTATGCCAAGGTTGTTAACTACATGTGATGGATTGTTAAAAATAACTGATCTTGTTGTTAAGCAGAGATTAATCTTTTTGGGTTATAGCAGTATCAAAAAGAACTTTTTGGTGGCTAATTAGCCAATCACATCTTA